TGAATAAACAAGACGTAGATGATGCAACAAAAGATTCTTCACATGGGACAAAGAGTAGGATTTTGACGGAAAGAATTTTCCTGAAACACTGAGGGTGAGCGGTCCCCAAAAAAGAGCAGAAGGATAGGTGGGGGAACATCCTCACCAGTTCTCTCTTGCTCTTTTTCCCCTTGTGTCTTTCTCTATCTGCCTAGTTCTCTCTCTGATTCTAGGTCTTTCTGCCTGCCTCCTCCCTCAACACACAGGCTGGGAAACAGCGTCCCACTTGCTCTCCCTCCCTCCCTCCTGTCCTGGTTGCGCCTTCCCCTTCCTCCTCTCAAATTGTTCCTCACTGGCTCCCGTCCACACCTGTGCACCCCACCCTCGTGCTGCAGGGTCTCCCTCCTCGAGAAGAGGGTGGAGGTTCTTTCCCAGGGCCAGCTCAGTTTCTCCCTGAGCCTGATTCGGTTGCAGGTGAATGCTTTGGTGATGTCAATGTCTTCGCAGACCCAGCCCACCCTCCTCATCTGAGCTGCACCCTTTACGTTTAATTACTCAAGCCTCTTTCTTTTAGTCCCAGTGGTGGATGAATTCTCGTGGCTATCTGAGAGTAAGTCCGGGGACTACCATGCCGAAAGAATCTCTGAGTGGATGGGGCAGAGGAGGCTGCATGGGTCCTCAAGGCACCTAGGAGCCAAGAATCCTCTGTAAAATGCCCATTTCAACGCCACGCGTTGCCTTGTTTCACTAGTCTACCAATTTTTTATGGATTAAACTAGCTGTTAGCGTGAGCCCAAGTGATTTCTCGAAATAGAAATGGTAGGATCTTAATTGTTTCGTTTTTGTTTTTTGTTTCTCTGTTTTTAGAGACAGGGTCTTGTTTTGTCACCCAGGCTGGAGTGCAGTCGTAGTCATACCTCACTGCAGCTTCAAAGTCCTGGGCTCAGTCAACACTCCCGCCTCAGCCTCCCGAGTAGCTGGGACTACAGGCATGCACCACCATGCCCTGCTGCTTACATTTTTTCTTTTAGAGACAGGATCTCACTATGTTGCCCAGACTGGTCTCAAACTCCTGGCCTCAAGTGATCCTCCCACCTCAGTCCCCCAGGTAGCTGGGATTACCATGCCTGGCTGAATCTTAGAATCTCAGAGCCATAAGGGGTCTGAAAGAACCAGTAAGTTCAACTTCCAAAAGCAGGGAGACAAGCGCCCCGCCTGTGGTTACACAGCAGAGTGAAAACAGCACCCGGCCCTCTGTCCTCCCAGACAGCTGTCCTCCATCTGCTCCAGGATTCTTGCTATGGTTTTAACCGGTGCTAAAAGGGCTCTCTATTTTAACTGCCCTGTTTGAAGAAATAATCCGTGAAAGAGGCTCAGCGAATAGAAAGACTGCCACGGCCACATAAGGCCAAGGGCACCAACAGCAGAGGAGTCCACTGTAGTTCCAGGGAAATGCCATCTCCATAACAGAAAAGAAAACGTTGACCCCAACCTTTTGCTGACAGGAAGTGAGAGAAGCAGCAATCGCCATAGGTGTTTGTGCTTTCATCTTTCTGCTTCAGTTTCAGTGAATCTCCCGGGTAAATGGAAGGATATGGTTTTACCCACGCAGGACACCAGAGACTGAAGTGTTGCAAAGAGTAGTCTCTGGACGTGTGTATGTCGGGCCCGGGGGATGGAGATTCAGGTAAACCCCTAATTGGAACCATACTTGGGATTCCCTGATGGTTGAATAGCAAGTGCGGTCCAGAAATTCAAGGTCACCTGGGCGGAGCTGAGAAATGTATTGGAAAAGGGAAGCTGATGGTCAGAAAATTCCAGTTCTACACCGGTTAAAGGTTATGAGCTCTTCTCAAGGGGATGATACCCAGATTGCAGGCCAGCAATTAGAAGGAGGCTACACTTGAGGGACAGCCTGTTCTCATGGTTACTATGACGGGTGGTGACTCTGTATAGGCGTGGGCTACATGAACTATGAACCAAGTTATGGGACAATCCCCAAAAGGCCTAGCTAGAAGCTAGATGTAGTAGATTGATCTAACCGTGAACTGACAGGTAGCAACACTGGGTGTGTCCCTCTGAGTATGTACATCTGAGAGTCCCAAATACGCCTGAGCTTTTGTGTTAGGCAGCTAGGTACATACATGTGGGAATTTAAAAAAGAAGCCATATGCATGTGTTTAGAAAATGAAAATACCTCCGAATCAAAAACTCTGTGAGTATGATTGACTATGTGCATACTTTCAAACTTCAAAAACGCTCCTGCTCTTCTGAGACTTAGGCAAAAAAAGAAGAAGAAAAGAAAAGCTAATGCAATCTAGATCCATCAAGTTGTATTCATTAAGTATTAAGTAGGGGTTAAGTGGTTAGAGGATAAGAATCACTGGGTGGAGCAAGAACAAAACCAGAATAGATATTTTCTGAGTTGTTTCAGGCCAGCAGAATGAGGAAGTTATAAGGAAGTTGATTTTGCTTGATTTAAGGAACTTAATAAAATTAGAGCTGTCCTGCCAAAGGGAACGAGCATGGAGGTACACACTGAGATTCTGAGCTCCCCCCATCTGGAAAGTTGAAGATCTGTAGGATGGCCATCTGTTCAAGATGGTGTAAAAATTAGACTTCTGCATACAGTAGGAGAATGAATGAGTTGATCTCCAAGATCCCTCCCAAATTTAGAATTCTGTGAACAAAATGAAGGATGAAATGGAACCAACTTGCCTCCTGCCCTTTCCTGTGGCCAAGTTTCAGCTATGTGCCCACCAGGCTCCTTGGAGTCTACAGAAAAGAAGTTTTGCCTCATCCACAAGTTTTTCTAGGTCTTCCGTGTGTCTTTCTCTGGCACTATCTGAAATCCCTAGACCTACCAGCAAGCCAAGAGTGTCTGCCTTCCCGGGGTGGGTCTACATGAAGCCCACTGACAAGGTGGGAATTGGATGGGCCTAATCTGGTCTCTGGAGGAAGCAGGAAGGGTTGAGGAAGGCACAGTAAGTCCTTTCCACAATCCACAGAAGGGGTGTCTTTCCTTTCCCCAGTGGTCTGCCCAGTAGCCCTGGGAGGTAGCCAGGTTCTAAGGATGTGATCTGCTCCGAGTTGGTCCTTGATGGCCTCTTGCCAACTCCCAAGACAGTTCAGTACCCACAAACAATGTAAAATGTGGGGGGCTCTCTGACCAGGGCGCCAGACAGGATGTCCTTCAGCTCCCGCCCCCGCCTCATTCTTTGGAGTCTGGTAGGAATTGGATCTGCCTCTGAGGGTGGGAGGCAGCAGGAGGAAGAAAATAACCCTCACATTTCAGTATTGTCAAAGCTGGAATCCAGAAAAGCTCCCACAGCCAAGGGACTCTCTCACTACTTCTTGGAGGAAGAGCAGAGAGCGGGAATCAGAATAGCATTTTTTAAATTGTCTTTAAACTCCAGGAAAGAGCATGTAGCATATTTTCTCATGTAGAAAGCTGCAGTAGAATGTGAAACGTTGCTACAAATAATATCGCGATGGTTCACACTGCAGAATTGTCGCGGCTTTCCCTGTGCTGACTGTTTAGACACACGTTACTTATTAGTTTTAACCTGCACAGAACTAAAAGGTTTGTATAATTTTCACAGGATATCATCACGATTGATTTAATAATGGCTTCCCTAGTCCACATCCACGTAATGTGGAAATAATAAACATTTGAAGCAGATGTAGGAGGAGTTCCGGTCATCTTGAAGCATCGCCCTGGTGCCCACTCAATCATCCCTCCCGGGGCAGTTTTACAGGGAGCATTGCTGCTCACACAAGTTGATTACATCTAAATCTTCTCTCCCAGCGTACTCCTTTCTAAAGGAAAAGCCTAGCTTTGTCAGACAAGCTGAATCCTGTCATTCTCCTCATCTTGTTTACTTGGGGAAAAAATAAACCAGTGTCTGTGTTGAAATGGGCCACACCTTAATAGACACTCACCCGAAATGCAAACCTAACAACAATAACAACAACAACAAAAAAAAATAGAAAAAGCACCTTCTTCACTCCTCCAGATTTACCTCATGATTAGCAGGAGTGTTGGCATTTATACAACCACATTTTAGGAAAGAGAGCAAAGATAAGGATTTCAAAATAATCGCTGCCTTCCGTGCAGAGAAATTCCACATCCACTTTCTTTCAAAATTTCTCTCATCGTTTCTGATATACCGTCTTTTCACTTGGCACTGAAAGGCCACTCTGGGGTGAAAGCACAAAGCCACTCAACAATTTTTTCGGGCACAGATGAAGTTCCCCTGCCCCACCCTCTCCTCCAAACCCAGCTTCCCTTCTGCCTCCCCCACCCTCCACATCTGGCCAAGAGAAGTCATCTGGAATCCTCATCAGCTCCTGCTTCCACCAGATGAACCCCTCCCACGTTTCATTTGAAACACCATTTGCCTCCCTCTCTTTCTCTCTCTAAAGGTTTTCTTTTCTTTTTTTGAGACAAAGTCTCACTTAGCTGCCCAGGATGGAGTGCAGCGGCACAATCTCGGCGCACTGCAACCTCTGCCTCCAGGTTCAAGTGATTCTCCCGTCTCAGCCTCCCGAGTAGCTGGGATTAGAGGCACCCACCATCATACCCAGCTAATTTTTGTATTTTAGTAGAAACAGTGTTTCACCATGTTGGTCAGGCTGGTCTTGAACTCCTGACCTCAGGTGATCCACCCATCTCAGCCAAAGTGCTAGGATTACAGGTGTGAGCCACCACACTCCGCCAAAGTTTTTCTTTAAACAAACCAAGCCCCCTCTTCCCATCCAGTGTGAAGGAAAAAAGTACTTAAATTTAAACAGAAGTGAACAGAGAAGCAAACCTGCAGGAAAAGCAACGTGAAAAATAAACAGAAAACGAGTTATCTGTCCACCACCACCCAAAAAATCCCGGCCAACAACCAGCAGGCAGAGAAACAGCTCAAGTCCTAAAGCAATCGGAATCAAAGCACAGGAGCTGGAAAACATCTGGCCAGCTCCCAATGCCATTTCCAAGGTGTGTGCTGCTTCCTCCATAAACAGTATCCTACCTCGGTTTATTGCAAAGTCCCTGCTCCGGCGACACCCTGAAGCGAGAACCCAGTCACTGCCAACACGATTGATCTCCCCAGACTACGTCCAGCTGATCTCCCGTCCAGCTGATCTCCCGTCCAGCTGATCTCCCGTCCAGCTGATCTCCCCAGACTACGTCCTCAATATACACTTTTCTGAACTTTCTGGAAAAATTTGTCTGTGTATTCACTTTAAGCCAAAAGTTTCAAGGACTTGGTTCTTAGAGAATCATAGGAAAACAGCGAAGGAAAAAAGAAAAAGCAAAGCTTAGATGAGGTCAGGAGAAGGAGAGCCGTTGAAAGGACAAAGAAAGTTTGCTGAGAGTCCCACAGTGTTGGGAGCTGTCCTACCTAGAGGATCTCAGCGACGGAGGAGCTGAGTGGCGGGTGCTGGCAGCAGCCCTGGTCCGCTCTTCTGGAGGTTCGCGACTGCACTGAGGGGAGGGACCTGTCTTCCGAGGTTATAAGTTTCCTCTGCTGGTGTACTGGGGTGTGTAATGGGCGGTTTCTTTTCACCGTGTTTTAAAGGAGTTTCTATGAATCAGTCTGGCTTTAAAAAAAAAAGATTTGTTGGTAAGCTACGCCCTGCTAAGCTGGCAGTCAGTCAAGAGTGGCTGGGAGTGAGCCATCAATTCAAAGAACCCTGTTGTACGCTCTGTCTGACTCAGACACACAGACCACAGTGGAAAAAGGAGTGACATTGCTTCAAATGAGTAATAGGATCACACAAATAGATCTGTTTACTGAAGCCCATTCCTCCTCACCAAAAAGGAGACTTGGTTACCATGGACATAAGGCAAAACACGAGGTGTCAGCCTGGGAGGGGGAGGAAAGGGCCAGTGTCCTGCTGACTGAAGTCCTAGGTCACCATCAAGCAAGATTCCCAGTCTTTCTCCCCCATTAAATGCATCAGCTGCTGCTCACCGTCAGGAATTATCAGATTCCTTTTTTATTTACTTCCCTGCCTGACCCTCGTGCACTGTCCTGCGGGCGGCTGTACAAGGAGGCCCTGAAGGCGAAGAAACACATCAGGAGCCCTTGCAACCCTGCCCCCGAGTGATGGAGTGCTGATGGAATGGCAGAGAATTCCTGGTCTTTAATTATGCTCTGCTAATGCCCGTGTGGACTCCCCACATTCCAGGAGGAAGTCCTCTACTTAAGAACTTTGCTCTCTGTAATAATCAGCTGGACCTTGTTCCACAATTGACTTTCCTGAACTTGGCCAGTAGCATAATCATCGGACTACCTTCCTGCAGCACTCCTCCCTCCTCTCTCTCTCTCTCTCTCTCTCTCTCTCACACACACACACACACACACACACACACACACACACACACTTAAGAAACCAGAGGCCTGAGTTCAAGCCCAGCTCTCCACAAATTGGCTGTGTGACTTTAGGGAAACCGCTTAACCTCTCCATGCCTATTTTCTCACGCATAAAATGGAGATAGTAGGTACCTAACTCATAGAGTTACAATGAGAAATACACGTGTAGGGCTTACAACAGTGCACATGGTGGGCACTCAACACATCTTAGCTACAAGGATTATTTTACTGAAGAAGCAGCTCAGGCCCAGAGAGGTGACGTGACTTATTCAAGGAGATTCAGTACGTTACCAGCAGTAGGTTGGATCTAAGTCAGCAAACCCAAGCACTTCTTTTTCTGTTATTCTCTGCTGCACCCTGACAACCTGTTTCAATTCGAAATATGCCTGTGTGGTATTTCTTCATCCATTCTGCCAATACGGGCTGCATGTCAACCTTCATTGGGCCCGGTTCAGATCACTGAGTCACAGAAGTGAGTGACATCCCTGCCTCTTGGAGATTACATTCCCTAAAAAGACAGAAAGCAGACTGGTGGCTCTTCACCAAAATGTTGATCAAATTCAGTTTTTATGGGTACATTTTAGTTTGTTTTGGTCATAGTCTGTATTTCCCGAATCTTCTGTGATGAACCTGTAGGACTTTCTTCAGGAGGTTGGGATGTGTATGGATTGATGGTTTTTAGGAAAAAATATCTCAACATGGGAATGTAGAGAATATTTTCTAAGGTGGGATGAGAAGGAAAACATACTACACGCATACACACAGACACGCACACACAGACACACACACACAATGATTTGATGCTGTACCTTCACAAGTCCCTGAGAACTGAATTCCGTCTCTGTAGAAGTAAGAAGGTCTGGATTTTCTCATTGAAAACTGATGATGTGATAAAAGGCTACATATTTTTCATAGAGTTCCTCACCTCACCCCTCTCTCATCACCCATTTGATAATAAAAATGCCTGTCTGAGAGGGGCCACTCCCAGGAGTGGGTTAAGAGTCCCTGTAATCTGTGAGCAGCCCAACCCTCAGGGAGAGGAGGGTGTCTGCCCATGAGGCTGGGGAATCCCCAGGCTTGGGCTGGCGCTCCAGATGAGCCATTCTCCCCTGCTGCCCTCTGCCTCTCCCCCTGGCCTTTTCCTACTCTCGGGGTTGCCTTTCATCCCTGACGCCCTCTGCCAATTTTAAAGTCTCTCTTCCCTCAGCTGCCTGGAAAGGAGAACTGGACTCCAGAGGAAGTGTTCTCAGATGCTGAGGAGTAAGTGGTCTGATTACATTTTTTAAAGAGAACCCTGGAACCAAGGAATAGTAGAGGGAAGGCACTCTCCCCCACCACCTCCTTCTTGGGCTTAACAAAGGGAAAAATCAGGAATTTTCATAAAGTACTTGAGTAGAGGAATCTTTCAGTCCATCTGGGTTTCTACACATTTCAAAAAGAGAGACACTGGACTCAGGGAGGGGCTGTCAAAACAGGACTCAGAAAGCAGGAGTTTCAGTTTCCACCTGGCAGTGGCTGTGAGCAAGGCATCTGCCCTCCTCTGTTTCACCTTAAAGTGAGTAGATGGCATCACCTTCCAAATGGGTCTGATAAATCTCACCCTTCTGTGTACTTTTGGAGATGTCTAAGCTTGGAGAGAAAATATTAAATGCATATTAAATATTAAATGAGAGCTCTTAAAACACACATGCACACATGCAAACACACACACACACATGAACACATGCACACAATACACACATGCATGCACACACATGCATGCACACACATGCACACATGCATGCACACATACACATGCACACATGCACATGTACACATGCACATACCCAGAGTGGTGCCTTAGAAAGGGAAGTTGTGTAAGTATTTTTAAAAGATAAATGCAAGTCCAAGATTTCTAAAGACTTGTAATTAACCCTTGAAATATCACTGAGCTTATTTTATAAAACTAAGTTATCAAGTCTGGGAAAGAAATTGGATCTTTCTGGCTGAAGTTCTCACTCCTTGTGCCTCTGGATGTGATTAAAATGTCAAGCCTGAGTCTTCCTGTGGCCTTGAGCAGACAATTTTTAGACTACTGACAGTAAACGGTTCAGGGCCTCAAACCACGTGGGGCTGGAGAAACGGCTCCCTGGCATTTATATGGTCTTTCCAAACAATATCAAGTAATCTGCCTTTCTGCTCCCATTTCCCCCATTTGGAAGGTAATTTGGACACATTCATTTTCCGCATGGGCAAAGTTTCATTTGACCTCACTCAATGAAAAACCATATATTCTTGGGAAGGAATGTCCCTCTCACCCAGTGCACGTGTTTCTCCAGCACCGGGATATTTTCCCCTTTTTCTGAAGCAACAAGACTCAACTTCTGGCATGATGCCATTTGGGGCAGATTTTCAAGTTTGAACCAGTGTAAACATTTTAATGAATGCATGAAACGAAGGCTTTTAATGACTGATACAAGAAGTCTCCTAAGGCAGGTCTGACCCCGGCAACCCACAGAAAAGAAAACTAATAATAGCTTGAACTTGTTTTGGTTCAAACTCAGTTAACCAAAAAGAATCCTAAACTATGCAATGTGTTCCCTGAAGCTATTATATGAGCAGGGACGTCAGTATTAACATTAGCAAACACTGCTTGGACGGTAAAGAACGGAGAGAAAAAGTGAAACAGTATCCTCCCAAGTCAAAGGAATGTTTGCTCCCCGCCACTCCTCTTTGAAATTTGAGAATTCATCACAAATGTTGTATTTCTTCCCTTTCCTTCATTTCTTTCTTCAAAACTCCTCTCATTATTTCTCTCTCAGGCTTTCTGCTGGCTTTCTTTTTCCTTCTTCTCTTTTTTTATTTTTTGTTTTTTTTAAGACGGAGTCTCTCTCTGTCAACAAGGCTGGCATGCAGTGGCACAAGTTCAACTCACCACAATCTCCCCGTCCCGGACTCCAGAGATTCTCCCACTTCAGCCTCCTGGGCAGCTAGCATACAGGCGGGCACCACCACATCTGGCTAATTTTTTGTTTTTGAGACACAGTCTCGCTGTGTCTCCCAGGCTGGCATGCGGTGGCACAATCTTGGCTCACTGTAGCGTTTGCGCACCAGGTTCCAGCAATTATCCCACCTCAACCACCAGAGTAGCTGGACTCAGAAAATCTGCCCACCTCTCTCTCCCAAGGTGCTGGGATTATAGGTGTGAGCCGCTGTGCCTAGCACATTTGCTTCTGGCTTTCATTGCTTACTTTCTTAAATTCCTCTCAGTAAGATGTAATTTTAATATCGTTTCACAAAATGAGAAGTCTCCAAAATCCTCCTAGTCTCCCCATTTCTGGTCTCTTAGCTAGCTGGTCCTTACACTGCTTAGGGAAGAGAACCCTGATGAGATACTGAGAGCCTTTCTAGAATAAGGACCACGGCCTGATACTTTTGGCGGAACACAGAGGAAAGTGGCATGTGGCTAGAGAGGAGAAGTGGTGATGTCAACAATGACATGTCAACTTGGAGGAGAAATAAGCCCCCCTTGCCACATTGGACAGTTACCAGATTAATACTAATTGCTGAACCTAGTTTTTAGGCAGTTGGGATATGCATGGCTGATCCAAATGGCTGGCAAAGGGACCTGAGCCATTTCCAGTGTGGATACAGCTTTACGGCCAGAGAAGAATAACAGGCAAACAAATAAGAAGCAATTGCGACCAAAATGAAAAACAAAGACATCCTTTCTCTGACCAATGCCAGCAGTGATACTAGAAGGTGGATATTACAGGTATACTGAATAAATGGTTTTCTTTTGTACTTTCGCTCTCGTGTTACCGAGTGCATTGTTCTTCCTTCTAAGCGGACCATTTCAGGTAAAGAACTGAATATTCATAAGAGACTGAAGAGTGACTAGCCCCTCCTTTGGCAGCAGGTCCAGTAAGTAAATGCTGGCTACATAGTGAGCGTTCAATTAAAATGTAATATGTTTAATCAATGAAGTGTCAAATAACCGAGTAAGAGGCTCTCAGTTCTTGTTTAAGATTCTTTCCTC